ACACTGCACCTTTCTTCCAACACTCACCTCGTTCAACTGCTTACCCTAACATAACCGCTTGCGGATCAGTGATTCAGTCGTACTGCGCCACCGCGGTGGCGACGCTGCAGTCACTGTGTACGAGTGGTGTTGTCTCATGGCAAATTCAAAATGTTAAAGGGTTCATGGAAGGACGGTTGCCAACGGAATGTTGGTCCAGGACGCCGTGAAATAACGCGACTTTCTTGTTCCAACAAGCAACTCATGGATACGGCAGGACCACTCTGAAATTGCCGCGCCATTCGCAGCGCCACTGCCACGCAAGAGGTGAGTGGCCTGACCTGACCAGCTCGTGATAGAACCGCCAGTTTCCCTGCCAATCATGCAAACCGAATTCTGGGAAGGGGAGACAACAGTGTTGAACAGGTATTACCTCTTTGTGCTTTACAACCTTCCGGATCGTTTTCCTAATGGACAAATCAAATACAAGGAGAGTGAGTGCTACACGTATATGATCCTATTCGGATTTCTTTTGAGCCCGATGCATAACACAACACATAAAATCTGGACAGGACCGACTGTGAAAAGACAGCGTGCATATCATACAATGAAGTTGGTTGCGAACAGACGGGCACAGGCAGAAAGCAACCACCAGGAACAGAGGTGATGTGTGAAGGACTTTGGACAACATGAAGATCAAATGTCCATGACGTACATCCGTCCATGCGCGTCGCTTACCATCGATGCTGGCGCTTTTGCACCACCGGCGGGTCCAGTAGTGGTCCATTGCATTCGTTGTTGTGCTGCAGCATGTTGATGTGCAACCAAATCCTCAGGATGTGCTCGATAACGAGCGAAATCTAGAAGGGAAGAGCCTTTATTGAGGTCCAGCGACGAAATCGGGACAATTGTAAGGCTGCGTTCATAGTTCGCGTCACCGTTTTTAGCGACTAGGAAAGTAGACCTATCGATTAAGTGTTCTGAGCGTACGTAAGCGTATGCCAGAGACTGCCCGCCAAAAGTTTAAAACTACCCGCGAAATGCTCAAAACACCGACGTGTGCTCAAAACGCTAGACGATTTCTTTGCTTTCCTGGTCGCGCTAAAACGCTGACGCAACGTATGAACGCTCCTTAAGAGGAGATGTGACCTTACCTGCACATTCCTCTCCCAGAACATAGTAGCACTGCTCGGTGAAGGTTATCTTATTGACGACATGTGCAATGAGCTTTCGTTTCAACAACTCAGCCGCATACTTTCGAGCATCTTTCCGTTCTAACAGACCATCTACATGTGCTAACAACCAATCGAGTAGATCCTTGCCTGAAGCGATTATTCATGAAAAGTTGCAACGAAGAAATTCTAAGTATACACTGAATCTCACCTAAAAATGACATCGGTATAGGAATCTTGAGCCATGTTCTATTTTTGATGTCGAGTCCTGAGTTCGGCATCGCCATCACTTCAACGACCTGAAAGTAATGCACAATGGTAAATAAATAAAGAACACACCATTAACGGCGCTGTTCGGCTTGGAGGGGGGGGGGCATTCGACACTTTCGGTAACCCCTTCTGCCAGCTCACATTGACTAACAGATCCCTAATTTTTGAGAGCTGTGAACTTTTGTAAAGCTGCGAGAAGCATCACGTTGGTCTGACGCCAGCACAAATCAAACTGAGTGTCATTCAGTGCACTCACCGAGCCAAATTGCGTCTAATAAATGGATAAATAAATAATGAACTAAATAGAAACTGTTCATCAAAGGAAGAGCTTGCGATAGCCAACTAGAAGAGCGTACGGCCTCCCGAATCGTGGGCATGGGCTCAATTTGGAAACAGGGGAGCGAAATTCTTGAGGCAAAGCTGCGAATGGGCCACGCGGCATCGCAACAATGCCTCTTGTTTGCGCGGATGCTGGGCCACCAGGAAGTGGATTTGGCGCAGCGTCAGCCCGTTTTACACCAATTATCGCTTCAACAACTGATAGAGAACAAGCAGGCGCGCGCCATACGCAGCCCCCGTGACACGCCCCAGTATTCGCAGTGAACAAGTCTGGAGATGCCACTTCCCCATCCGGTGAGAGGGCGCAGAGAAGCAGACATGACGTAGCACGCCCAACTTCCAACCGGCGCTACTCCTGTCTTAAAAAAAAACCAGAAGAACGCGGCTCCCTTCAAGCAGCACTTTCAAACAACCTGCTCACTGAAGAAGCTTCAGCTACAGAGATAAAAGCTCACATAAGATAATTGCAAAAAGAAACTTCTAGGCCACATACGATCGTAAAGTGTTGACAAACCTTCTTTTTATCGGTGTGGATATCCAACCGAATATGTTGCCCGGTAACGACTGTGTTCTGTCCATTTGACCCTGTTGACGTCACCGTCGAGCTACTTGGTGGCCGACCGTGAGGCCAGTCACCGGGTATAGGAGTTGGAGCACCTTCAGAACCTGTAAGGAAATAATCACTCAAAAATCCTCACTGTAACGGGTATGAGCGGGCAGTTTGCTTGGAGGGGGCGCGTTGTACTGCGCTGATACCCACTGGTCGTGGTCACTGCTTTACAGGAGTTGCCAGCCATTCTTCACATGAGTTGACAAGTAGTGTCTACTAACTTTGGCAGGTATTACTTCAACGCTTCACAAACTTCCAAAGGTCTCTACATGATCGTTCGAGACAATGCGAGGCAAGCGAAGGTACAAAGTGCCCCTCCTCTTCCAAAACCAACTCAGTCTGTATCAAATGACCTACCTTCAAGAATGCTGGGCATGCCACGCATAGCATTGGTGTGTTGAATCCATGCTTGAGTGTCTATAGGCCTTACTGGCTCGTCTCTGTGATTTCGGGGGATTGTGAAACAGCTCTTTGGGCCGCTATCGAAACACTTGGCCACAGTGAGCTTGATTGGTCCCTTTCGAGCAACAGCGTCACTGAAAAAAAGTTCACTTGTGCTTGCGAACTACCTCGTTGAAGGCAGTGGGCATGATTGCTAGGCGGAGAACAGGGAGGAGGCGAACGACATTGGTGGAAGTGATAAGTGGGGTGTGGCCGAATGCCCTCTCGCAGCCCTTCCACCAGTGACGTTGGCAACGACCGCCCGCCTCCAGCAATCATGTCCACAGCCTTTATTCAGACAAACTGGTAACAAATAATAAAAAAAAAACAATAAGTACAGGTTCTGGGATTGGCTCTTAAATGCTCATCTGAGAGAAAACTATCAAACAGGAGATAAATTGAGCTCACTATAACACACACAATAACAACACATAATAAAACAATTTTCAAATAATTATGAAACAAGGAAGAGACGTGGAATAAAAAAAACATACCGTAAAACATCCACGGCTTGATCATTGGTAAAGTTGTCGAACGAGATGTCATTTACTTGTAATATCATATCACCGGCACTTATACGCCCGTCCAGAGCAACTGCGCCACCTTAAACAGAAAACCTGTAACCGGCGTATTCCAAAGCATTGAAGACACATTTCACGATCATATAAGAGGTAGAATCCCGTAGAAGGAAGCTGGTTTGGACCGTAATGTCGTAACTGGCGCACTAAAACATAGTCCGCCAGTTACGACATTCGAAAGTACTCGGTAAGGATGCTAGGAGCTTGCGGCTGCCAGGAACCTAGACAAGAACCGATCAATACCCATGAAGGTGCGACTGCTGCGTGGCGTTTTCTTCTCGTATAAGCATGCGTGCGTGCGTGGTGCGACGTGCGCGCGTGCGCTCCTGTGTGTGTGAGCCTGATTTTGACTAAGCGTCTCTGTGTCTCTATTCGACGCATTCTTGTCCAGTACTCACGATCAACGAGCCTCTATTAAGGTTTTCAGAGGTTTTCCTGTACATTTTTTCTCTGGTCATTCGAAAATTACTTATAAATCTATGTTTGGTCCCCTATACCCGTGACTTCCAATCGATGAATGTGCCTACTAACAAGTCTCTACCAATACATCACAGCACTGAAAAGTGAGCGAAGTGATTACCCAAGTTTTCACAAAAATCACGACTGCAGTCAGGCCGAGAGGATCGCAGTAAAGTCATAATGCAATCGGAAAGCTTTCAATTCCCAGGGACGACTATGCAATCGTTCCCAGACCTACCTTATCTATGAGAAGTACGAACACGACTTGGCTCGGTGGGGGGGGTACTAGATGGAACTCAGGAAGATTGTACAGGTTTTCTCAAGGAAACCTGTATATTCCTGTAACTAAAGTGGCTCACTCATGCCACTTTGGAGCTTCACAGGAGTTTACAAATTTCACTTAAGATAAATCTGTCGTTGATAGGTATCTTAGCTAATACGAACAAAAGAAGCAACGAAGCTAGCTAAGATATCTATCAACGACAGATTTATATTAAGTGAAATCTGTAAACTCCTGTGAAGCTCCAAAGTGGCATGAGTGAGCCACTTTAGCTGAATGCCCCTTCCAAGCCGAAAGAGCTTATTTGGACATACCCTTCATAATATTTGCCACGTAGATTCCGTTGTCACCACGCGCAGAACTTTGTCCAACAATGGAGATCCCGAGAAAGTTTACGGTATCCATGTTGAGGATTACTGTATCCACGTCAAGACTCATCGATGACTCTGCAATTGAATACGTTTTCCACCATTAAAAACGGGCAAAAAGAAAATGTCCTTCATCGTAGCGTACAAAACCTAACCCACCTGTTATACTCGAAAATGAAGATGCTCTCGACGGTCGTCGATATTGCCGACGCCGCCGTTGTTTGCGATACATGTTCTCATGTTGTCGTGAGACCGAGGTGATATCCGTGGTAGTCGATCCCCTGCAAACATTCGACAACTCAACGAGACCACTGTAATCCTTTCACTATTATGAGGTACTGCAGCGGTAAGACCCCAGTTTAAGACCATTGGTGAAGATGATATACAGCCCGCATAGACAGGCTAACAGCTGCTCATTCAAAAAAGACAACTATGGAAGAGGCTGATCGCTGACGCGATAATGTCACTGTAATTATGCTTGCTCATCGTACATAAGTCTATCTACTTGCGCTGTTCGGCTTGGGAGGGGTATTTTTGGTGAGACTTCTATGAAGTGTGAAGCGTTGCGAGCTAATTTTGTCATACGATTTCGCGAGTATTCATAAGGGGCCTGTACAAGGTTTGAGTAACATTTAGTGCCCCCACCAAGCCGAACTGCTCATAGTCTATGATTTCAACTGGCGGTATGATGTACAACTTGTCCCTCGAGCACAGACGGCGCACTAAGCAACTCTAACAAGTTGCATGGACAGTTGGAGACATAACAGACGCTTGCAACAACAACGGGTGCCTTGCTGATCAAGCCCCCTGCGTTGGAGACACTGGCTGAGAGAAGTTCGTTTCTGGTCGCACTAGGGACTGGGATCGTGTTTGACTCGGAGAAAAATATTTCTTTCGTCATTTTCCCCCGGTCTCTCCTGTTTCGGAATCGCTATGCCATCTACCCCTTTCCCCCACCCCATTCGACGGCAGTAAGAACCTTCAAAAACTGATAGGAAGCTGGAAAAACTCAGCAAAATGTTGGGACGTTACCGGGAAAGGGTCGTACCAACCAAAAGGGGGATTTCGGATATGGTCGGATTTCGCGAAAATTTCCCCAACGGCAGAACGCGATCTGCAGCTGATACTCAACACAAGTAAACGTTCGGAGCTATTCTCAAAAATTTAAGAAAGACGCTGTTCGGCTTGGAGGGGCCATTTTGCACTTTTTTCCAGATCCTTTAGTTCCTTTTGTTAGTTCTTGTTGACTAGCAGGTTCACACTGAATTGTTGGAGCGACCCATTCTGGTCACGGGACTTTTCAAGTCTCCAGAACGTGATTTGCAAAGTTTGGCTGAGTGCCATATGGCGCCCCCTCGAAGCCGAACTCTACCTCTCCCCCTTCCAAGAAATGTAAGTTATCCACCATACTTCGATTTCCTAAGGGCGTAATATTCTTCTGAATTAGAAGTAGTGGAATAGTAGTCCTTTCCATCACTGCCTTCAAAATCACCGTCTTCCGTGATATAGCCACTCATAGTCAGTAGAGTTGAAGTTAAGATTGTGGGCAATAAAACTGCTGCTGCTGCTGACGAGAGAGGGAGTCACCACGTTCACTGGGAGATGTGGGCGAGCGCATAGCACTAATCCTTTGCAACGACTAGCCCCATCCGTCAAAATGTAATGCAAGAGGATCAAAAACGCATCAATGAATACTAGTGATCATATAAGGAAACGGAAGCAAATATCATACATTCACCACAACATAAAAATACGTGAGATTATAAGTGTTGGAAGATACAAATAAATTAGTTTCTCGCATATTTGGCTTGGAAGGGGCACTTTGCATTTTCGCCAAGTCCTTTTGTTGGCTCATATTAACTAACACCTCTTAGCTCATGTTAAGTGATACTACTACTCTTTTCAGACCTGTGAAGCCCTATGAAGCTGAGAAACCGTTTGAGGGAGCCTTTTCAATTACAGGATTTCACAAGTCTCACAAGGTGGTTTCAACTAGTCCGCAGTGCTCACATGATGCCCCCTCCAACCCAAACTGCACCAATTTCTGGATCTGCAGCTGTTCCCAAGACCGAATCATGGGCATACGGGTATCACCAAATCCAACAATAACCCAAAGCAAAGACCACACAAGCTGAGTTAGGGGCAGAGATTTCACCCTAGGTAGCACTCAACATGCAGTACAGGTCTGCCGAGCTAGTGGGCTGACCTTTGAATGACCAAGTCCACATTCCATTCTCTCAGCCTACTTTATGGTTGGCTATCGCAATAAAATCAATTCTCAGACGAAACGACATTAGTCACCCTCCACTGGCCCACTTTTCAGAACTCAGCCCAGGTTTTGATCGAAATTCTCATCGGTGGCAGCTATCTTCCAACTCTGAATTTTCTCAAATCTCTTCTAGTTCTCCGAACCTGCAGTGGAGAGAGAAGGAGACATACAGACAGACAGACAGACAGACAAATAGAGAAGGAGAGGGGGGGGGGGCGTAAATTCAACATGTGAAACGGGGATCACTGAGGGGAAACCACTAACCAAGGACAATTCCTTAAAAGACAACTACGATGCTCCCCACCCCTTCCCCCCCCCCCTTTTAGCGGCCAAATAACCCTGCCCGTTCTGTATCCCAACGTACAATGTGCACTGTGTCGAGATGATTCTAACGACCCAAAAACGGAATTCTGTCTCAATATACACGAGACAAAATCGAGGTCAAAATCGTGCAAAAAAGGGACAAAAGCTATGAAATTCATAAAGTGCATGGAAACAGCAAACAAAACTGCATGCTGACCTGTCATCATCGTCCGAAAACATGCGCGCATCGCTTTCCGACCCAATCGTAGAATCCTCGAACCGACGTCCTCGGTGACCTAAAAGCCAAATTCAGCAGCGTGACGATAAAATTTATAGAAAAAACCTAAAAGGCACACTTGCCAATAAGATAGAAGGAAGCATTTGCACTCAGTTCGCTTGTAAGCGAAAGATGGCTCGTGCGGTGTAGGAAACCAATGAGGTGACGTCTGGGAGTAGCATCTGGTGCAGCTACATTTTTTCCTTGGAAGGAGCTCGTTGTGTGGCTTCCCATGTATCTCTTCTTTGGTTTCTTTTGCTGCTGTTCTTCAGGGATGTAGCCATTTTCGTAGAGTGGTGGTAAGATCTTGTTCTCTATAGCGGTCATGGTCCTGCTCAACGGCCTCGATTGGAGCATTCGTCTTTCACATTTCATTAAAGGACCACCTCCAATGGTGGTATAGGGACGCCTTCTCAAGACCTGGCACTCCTCCAAAAGTCTGGCTGTAGGTGGGGCGAGTTCAGCTGAAGTATTCTTTTCAATAGCGATGGATGGAGTGGGGCGATCTTCGGAGCGAGGTTCGAGGGGTCGAAGAGCAACGCCTTCTCCTTCTTTTGGTCCCACCTCTCTTCGTGAAATATCAATTAAAGCGGAGCTGGAAGGTGGTGGTGGTGGTGGTGGTGGAGATTCCATGCGTAGATAAAAACCATCCGACTGTTTACTGGTCTTGGAACGCTGCTTTTTTGATACTTCATCAGCTGTCACTGCAATGCATCCCTCGGACCTCCTCTTTTTAATGAGACTCCGCATCCTCGATGATTGCAACGATTCCTCCTTGACAATTTCTGATTTGCTTCCAAATGATCCTCCTTTTTGACGATCTCGTAGAAGGACCGGTTCATCAACGGCACCGCCCGTTAAAGCGATAACCTTCCCACCCGTCCATGATGGGCCAATTTTCTTCTTGTCGCTATCACGACGGAATATACAATTTAGAAAATTTGTGCTTGTCAGATGCTTTGCATATTTTCGCCTGACTTTCTTCGACTCATCGAGACTATCAACCACTTCAGGAACAGCCAAAGGCGGCTTTTTTGTGGCGTTTTCTAACCGTGACACTAACTGTGCCACTCTACTTTTACTCTGAAATACTAGTTCTCCTCTAGAATGTGTCACAGGCGCAATGCTGCGCTGTGATTGACGACATTCTCCAATGAAGTCCATTAGGAAATTAGTGCGTTCAACAAAAGAAGACGTTATCAGCTCCTTGCTTGACGCCTTTCGAGTAAGTTCGGTGGCGGTCGTCATCGCAATCTGCAGTACGAGCCTTTGGAAACACGATCGGGCTAGTCGAGAAACAACGAAATTCGGAAGCTTAGCGACAAACAATGCTTTAAAATATTCACTTCGAGGGTGCCGACAGGCCGAAAAGCCTATTTACCAGCAATATTTCAGCGCTCAACAATTTCTCACGCCATAAATACTCTTTGTAATGTAGTTAGTTTAACAAACGAAGCATATTAAACTATCTCATGCGGGTCCGCCTCCACAGTCGACGAATTTACTCCTTAAACTTGTAGGGCAGCAGATGAGCCACTTCAGTGCACTTCATTCATTTAACCAGCAACATTAAAAACGCGTTCATACTCTGCGACAGGTTTGAGCGTCTGCCAGCGTTCTGAGCGTTTTGAGCGACTAGCATAAGTTAATTATCGATCAAGCGTTTAAAGTTCACCAGCACTTTCAACGATTGCTCGCGAAAAGATTGAAATTCCACGAGAAATACCCAAAACGCTGGCGTACGCTCAAATTGCAGATCGATACCTATGCTTTGCCGGTCGCGCAAAACGCTCAAAACGTCGCCGTACGCCCAAAACGCTGACGTAAAGTTTGAACGCAGCTCAACAACGAGTATGTCAGGTTTGACCAAGGTTTTGGGCACCGAATATTGCTGAGAAGGGGACTTTGAGAAGAGTTTGGCTCTTCGGGCCTTCCAATACAAAATGAGGCTCATCCCGTTTTTACATAGTAAATCACCATGACGCTTAGGGGAAGCATAACTTTCAACGAAATACGCATGAAACACGATATTCCCGCAGGGTATAGCATTGATGATGTGTTAAATGGTGAGGGGGAAGTGTGGTACGACGGCTCGCGAAAACGGCTTTCCGTGAAGAGGAATAAGCCGCCTTCATCAGCGACCAAATACAGCCCCGGCTGAAATTCTCCCAATGATGCTGCACCCTGCGTTCATAACACTCAAAAGGTTCAAGGAGAGAAAAAAAAGGAATGAAACTAGTCAATCCATGAAAAACTCTCGAAATCGCCAGTCATCAGAGACCCTGAAATGAGATGAACGAAGGGGTATCTCAAAAGCAGGACCAATTAGTACGACCAATGGGCCAATTAGCAAGATCAGTGACAAGAAAAACGTCATATGATGTTAGATCTATAATGGTGGAACTCTCTCGCAGAACATCGGCGACCCATCGAGAAACGCAATGAATAAACACTGCGACGACACGCTCGTCACGCTCTTTATGCTTTCTCTCATCACTATCACTAATGAGATAATCACCAAGAATCTCTCGTCATGTAAAATCGGTTATCCCACCCCAACCATGACAAACCGGGCCTCGACAAGCGCAAGATGAAAGGATACGAACGCTCAGGGAGGTACTGAAAGACTCGAATATTCTACAACTTTCAGGACAAGAAGGCGGAAAGAGGACTTCTCAGATCAAATTGCTTTAGCTTCTAGGCGGTGTTCTGCAACGACGGAGGGGAGGGGAGGGGCGGGGGCAGGAGTTTCGCCGTTTCGCTGCTTCACTAGTTTCACTTAACACTCTGGTGAAACTCGTGAACTCTTGTGAAGCTGGAGCAAACTCGTCGAGCCACCATGATAAAACCTGTCAACCCTTGTAAGCTCATAAACAGTTCACATATCATCACGAATTCACAAGAGTCGACAGGTGTTCTTTACAAGGGTTGACAAGCAACCTCCACAAACTTTTGCTGGTATCATTTCGAGCTTTACAAAATTTCACAGGTCTCCATGTGGACGGCTCGACACGTTGATAGGAAGCAGAAAGTGCAAAATGCACCCCCCCCGTCCCAAAACTGCTACTATTTTCTGTTTTTAACGAAAGGTTATCAGGCATAAATCAGGTGCATATCACAGTAATTGGTAGAGACGTGACACAGCGGTTATCGGCCACCACTTGACAAGGCACTTGAGAACACGCAGCAGCTTTCTCTCCACAAGAAAAATGAAATATCGACCAACCCAACAGCTATATTTAAAATGATTTCTATCAACTGAATAATAAAACCAGACGAGGCCTAGTACAAGCACTCATGGGGCCCCTTACGAGCACTCATAAAATTGACACACATAAAAACGCTGTTTTTTTTACAAAAACATGCGCTGCCTTACGGCTTTTTTATGATAACAAAACAGAAATATAACAAGTGACCGTGTTTCAACTTCAAAATATCTACCACCACATACCCTATACACAAATCACAAACCAGATGTATCAAAATCGATGACCTGTTGCTGGTAGTTTTGTTCAAATCTTTAATAGCTTCACAATCTAAGTACATCAACTCTGGATGGGTGAAATTGTTGTCAAAGCGAATCCTTCCCAACTCATACCTCCCAAGGAGGGTTGCACGCAGGGCACGCCATCGCGTTGTGATCATTTTCTGAGAAATTACGACCCCCCTAATTCCATACTAAAAACGACCCCCTTTTTGGAGGTGCGGGAGTTGGTACGACCCCCCCCCTCCCAAAAATGACCAAGTACGACCCCCCCTCCTTTACAGCGTCCGTGAAACAAGAGAAATCAACTATCAAAAAAATTTCTCTGTCCGAAATACGACCCCCCTCCCTCGCGGTCAAATACGACCCCCCTTGTGATGATCACAACGATGGCGTACCCTGGTTGCACGCATGAAACGTGAAAAATCAATAAATAGTTCAACCCAAGTACGACCTTTTCCTAGTGGATTGATAGGGCCCCCTGATGAGATTCTCCAACAATTATGTACACTGTTTAAAGGTTTCCCGTTTGGTAGAGGTTCTCCACAGAACAAACGATAGCTTCGAATCCTCAAGCATCTTTGGAAAAAGAAACATTGACGAAGAACCGAAATTACGTTCGCATTGGTTGTATGTTTGCACCTTTTTCGATGATCTTCCAAGACGTCGACCTCCACAAGTTTACAGAACTTGGCGTCACTTGGCTCGAGGGGGAAAGGGGGGGGGGTTAGGTGGGCATTTTCCACTTTCGCTGGTTTCTTCTGCTAGTTCCTGTTGAATTACACGTTCACCTTGGAAAGAAATTTGGCACACCTTGAGCTCCCTTCACTCATCAGCTCACAAAACAAAACAAAGCAGAATCGCTTTGTTGTTAATTTTCATCATCAGCAATAATTGATTCATATTGATAGCGCAGATGAGGCAATTGAAAAGGAGGTTCGAATTGAGGCTACCAATGATGACTGCAGAAAAAAAACGCTCAAAGAAGAAGCAAGAACTTCCATTCTACTAGAGAAAAACTCGTTGACAATCTTAGTTTTGACCGATTCCTGTGCATTCTAGATTTCACTAGGATGCACTAAGGTAATGGGCGTCAGATGGTGCTGTTCGAGCACACCTGAAGCACCAGGCGACATAATAAACCTAGTCGGATTATCACAACAGCTGCTTTAACCTGGGCCGTTTCCATTCGTTTTCCTGTGACTTGCACAATGCCACCACCAACTCATCAAGTGTCACTCGTTTGCATAACACAAACCAGCCGCCATAAACAACGGGGCTGCGGGATAAATGTGTCAGAACTTGGGACTATATGGCATATGATTCTCTGATGTGGGAACAACTTCCACGTAAACATGCTCGTGAAGCGATTCCAAAAAAATAAACAAAAATAATCAATAAATACACTAACCGACAATGTACTGCTGTTGTACATGCCTCCTGTTCAAACTTCCTTTCATGTATTGAGGAACTGGCGCAGAAACCATCGATTCCGAGTCGGTACTGAGCACTAAAATCAGCATTTATTACAAACTAGCAGTGGCTGTTCGAGGGCTATGATTTTCAAGGTTGTTTTATATGTCAACTGTTGTTTCGCGCATTCGCATTCCGAAAGTTATTGAGAGAATGCTGAGTTACAGGAAAAAGTTTGACCCCAGACTGGGCTCCAACCCGCACCTCGCGCTTTTGGGGCGATCGCATTATTCGTCACGCCACCACTGCCGCTCTTGCAATCTCAGTTTGACGGCTTTATGCCGTAGCCTCATAGCACCCATGCTGAGAAGGTAAGCCCTGGTGGCATGACTGATAGGGCAATCAGGTATGGGTTCGAGTTCTTTTTATGCAACCCCGGTGATCCCACTGATCTGCGGACCTTAAAAAAAAGCAGAGGGATCAACGGCGTCAAGAAGATAATGAATGAAAGCCATTTGTCAATCAACAAAAAACGTTTACGGGTTCCTTTTTCCTATATCCACGAAAATTTTCCCTAAGCACGACCTCATAAATAATGCTCACATTTCCAGGTTTTTGGCTATGAGCTGGTTACTCCATCAATGACGAGAGCGTTTTTCATGCATGTAGAAAAACAGCCCCGAAGCCATCACAAGAATGCTGAGTCATGGGCAAAAGACTTGACCGTAGGCGATTTGAGCCTAAGGTCAAGTCTTTCGACCCCTAACACAACACTCCTGCGACAAATTCCGGAAGGCAAAAGCGGCGCTTATTATGTATTCATTCATTTCTGGTTCTTGAGTGAAGCGATTTTTCTTGCATTCTTGCGCGAAGCGCTCGCTACATTACACTCTGCACTTCATAGACATCATTTGGAGCCCCGCCCCAGACAGCCACACCTTTTTGTCGCGACATTAAAAAAACATATCGAGTAAATTGTCAACATTTTTCCACCACGCCTTTTCCAACTATTCATCCAAACCCTTTAACTCACCGCCTCATGCTTGTGACGAGACGTTGGGGGGTCCCACATTTGATCCATTGAGAGGAGGTCGGATTACAGAACACATGATAAGACTTTCGAGAAGAAATGTTACAGAAAACATGATAAGACTCTCAAGGAGAAATGCTAGGTGTGATCACTCCCGATAATCTATCTATTCGTATAATCGGTGGCGTTTGTTAAAGGGGAGGAAGGTGGGTCCAGTACAGAAAAACATATCAGGAAACTTGCTAATTGAAGGAGTAAGGAAGTTTAGGATTACGGCAAAAACAGCAACAATACATTCCTTTCCGCAGCACTAAGCTCAGAGCCGCTTATATTTTCCCCTAATCCACCATTTTCGTTCCAGATATTTTCAGATACTGGTTAATATGTCGCACCTTCGAGCAAACACAATATGGCTTTGGTCGCGCGGACTTCTATGCTATTGTACTTATTCATTAACTATTTTCGCGATATCTGCGCTAAAAAGCATCTTGATCAGCAGCCGCGACGTCGCAAGCGATTCAAGCGGCCAATTACGATTGTCTTGTCACATATCCTGCGAATGCTGCAATGTCAGGTGGCCTAGGTTTGGCATGGCGCCAACCCACTTTTTCAACCGTCGCCTGCTCGCTTTGAACCATTTGGTGGAAAACAAATAGAGCGCAGTAAGCCGCAGCGCTAACACCCATGCCCTCCCCCCACACCCATAAGGTGCCAGAACAAGACTACAAAAGCAAAATACATTACTCACAACTATTATCGTACTGGTGCACAGCCTGACGATATGCATTTTGACTAAGATGATACATGCTGGTTGGCGCTGGCCCCGGCACCTGAATAAGGATAAAAGTAAGCAAAACTGATCGCCATTGAAGTTTCACAAAAGAAAGAACTATTTGTCTTAGCTATTCACCATATGATGCCGTGCAGTTTTTGGAAGACCTGAAGAGCCGTCAGAATGAGTAGATCCTTCGGTAGTCAGCAGGAACAATTCAAAGCGTCCATTCGATGAGCGATGCAATCGTTCCATGTCATCACGGATTTCGGCTTTCACCTCGCTGAAAATCGGACAACTGTTAGTTCCACGCCATTTTCCAGACTTCAATCCTTCAACGTACCCAGCTGGGGAAACTCCAAAAGAAAACGTCAATTATTAGAATCCACAAAAATGTTTTTGAGCAATATGGGGGAGAGTATATTGCGCTGTTCGGCTCAGGGGGTGGAGAGATTTTGCACTTTTGCTAGTTCATTCTTGGGTGAGACCCGTAAACTCTTTCGAAGCTGCAAAACGGTACAAGTGACCACTTTGGCTTCAAAAACTTACAGTTCTCTACAAGTTGGCCTACTGAGGCTTCGCGCGAGCACTATTTAGTGCCCCCCCCCACCGAAGCAAACTGCGTCCCATGGGCAGCCTCTTCTGCTCCGAAAATATTCATTTTAACAAATCGGGCGCTAAAAGCTATTGAGTACTCTTAGTAACATCTTCAACAGCGATTCTCAAAAAGTCCCTCCGAGAGAACGTGCTCAATTGTTAGCCAGACGACAGACGATTGCAAAAGTAAGCGGTGCAAAAAACTGAGATCTCACAGTCGTCAGCCAAAGATGGGAAGCGTTTTCAAGATTGACAGGAGATTGCAGAGATTAGTGCAAGCGCGCACGTTTGTGAAATAAAAAATGGGTTCAGATGTAAATGAGCTGAAATCAGCAAATTAGGGTTATCCTGCGAGATGGACAATTTGATGAACAACCAGAAAAACTCTCCCGAATCCATAATTAAGAAGCCAAATTATCCGCGGAGGAAGAACTTATACAAGGCTGTACCTACCTCTCAGCTCACCGATTCTCATCAATTCTTTTGAGTGAATGTACTCTGAGAATTCCCAGATGGGAGGTCTCCTTCAACGGAGAGAGATTCAGTACTTCCAAGCCGCCCTATACGAACTATTCAGCCCAGCTGACAGGTGCCGTCTCGTCGAAGAGAACAAAACACTGACGTCTACCCCATATCGCGGAATGGGATAGCCCTGGCTGCGTTCTTCAACAGCAACTTGAACATGATTTAGAGTTCGTACAATCGTCGGATACTTCTGATTAGGACAACTCTCATCCTGTCCCGTGCTTAACATACTTCCTTACGACTGTCCAAAAATGGAAATATCCCACCAAAAGAGAAACCGCTTCCACGATCAAAGGAAGGGCATAGCCATGCTCGCCTCGTCTGATGACAAGGGGGGGGATACACATCACTGCCAAATGGTCAGGTCACGTGTTCAAGTGCCACTACAGTAATGAATAGAAGTTGACTATGTGGTATACCCATGAAGGGGGCAACAAGCTTCATCCATTGGGATAGCAGAATAACCCATTAAATATCCCAAAACTTGCGTTTTACGGCTACTGAACGATGCTCCTTGTTATCTGTAGACCTACTCACATCCGAGGAGAAGTAGACATG